CCCCTTTTTGGCCCCTTATTCCTAAACGTTTTGGGCAATTACCCCCAAACTCAATTCCAGCTTTCCCTTTGTGATATGGAACCTTGTAGTACAATTTCAGAAAGATCCATACACTTACACACAAGTTATTGTCATGAAACTAGAAAAATGCTTGTTTTTTGCCCCTTTTTTGGCCCCTAATTCCTAATATATTGAGGCAATTACCCCCAAAATCAATCCCAGCATTCCCTGTGTGATATGGAACCTTGTGGTACAATGTCAGAGAGATCCATACACTAACACACAAGTTATGTCTGGAAGTTACAAAAATGCTTATTTTTGGCCCCTTTTTGGCCCCTAATTCCTTAACTGTTTGTACCATAACCCCCAAAATCAATCCCAACCTTCCTTTTGTGGTATTGAACCTTATGGTAAAATTTCATAGAGATCCATTCACTTAAACTAAAGTTAGAGTGCGAAAACCAATGTGTCTTCGGACGACGCCAACGTCATACCAATATACGACCGCAAAAATTTTTTGCGGTCGTATAAAAAGGCGTTTACGAACCTTTCCTTTTTTTCTGCTAGGAGACAGGAAACATGCATATAATATATATTTTTTTTGGCCTGAAGAAAAAATAAACAGGATATCTGATTTAATGGTGTCAGGGTGGACTATTAGAATGTCAAGAGTATCTTGATAACTGAAAAGTGAATAGTATACCTAACCAAAACACCCTCAACTAAAATAAATGGTGTCCACAAATCGTATCAATTTTTTTGTCTCAAAATAATGTTAACAAATTCACATTTTTTTTACCAAATGCTGTAAAAAAAGATTTTTCCTCCTGAAACTTCTGACATATGAGATCAAATAATTTCAGGTTTATCAAAATTAGTATTCAGAGAATCCTGATACTGTAAAGTGAATGGAAAATTGGCCATTACATTGAATTAGAACCCAAGATCTGGACATGTTCATAGTACAGTGTCCCACCAATGAATCCTTGGAAAAGGCTACAACCTTAATCACCACATTTTATAAGAAATCTTGATTTATGTTTGTTGGTGACATTGTAAAAAGTTCAGTGATTTCTATACAGCTGGTCCAACAACATTCAAAGGTAATCTTAGCAATATAATTACTTCAAATTTTCTATAATTACATTTTGTATTATACATGATGTAAAGCTGCTAGTCTGATACCTACGGAAGTGTATTCAAATAAACATGCATTTCAATGGCATCCATTTTATGGCTTAGCAGGGGTGTGGAAATATCAAAATTCTTCACGCACTAAATATATACAAAAATCTACTTGCCTGGCCAATTATTTGACTTATCCCAATACTAGTTGAGCTTTTATAGAAATTACTTTAAAAAATTTAATATTCATAATTTTTATGGATGCAAATTTGATCTGTTTCAGTTGAAATTAGAAAAATATTCCATGGGCTACAGATTTTTTTCATTTTATGCATAATTTCTTTTTATATTTACAGACATAAATTATGAATGATGGCTGAGTGCCTGCAGACACACTGGAACCAAATTAAAAAATAGTCATATAACCAATAAGAGTATAAAAATAAAAACAGTATTTATATAATTGTGTTCTATTTCGAGAATAAAATATGAATAAAAAAAAAAAGACAAACTTACATGCATTAGGCACCTACACAAAATAGTTGATGTACAAAAAATGTACATGTAGCAGTCAGAGTTTCTTAAACTTTACAATTAATAGAAAAGAGCAAGCACCATATATTTATTTTAAGACCGGTTGTCAACAATGAAAACTAGGTTTAAAAATGTATGGTAAATAGTAAAGAAAATATTATAATCATTGAACTTGACATTGTAATTGTAAATAAATATGATCCTACTTCTTAAATCATTAAAATTGGAAACTGGAGTTGAAACCTTTAAATCAAATGAATTGCTAATGGTTATAATATCTTAAAATTCAATAGGTTCAAAATGATGTCAATATAGTATTTGGAGAAGTAATTGTAAGTTAGTAAATATTTTGACACTGAAAAAATAAACTTTCTCACTTACATCTTAAATCATTTTTACTTTATAAATAATTAGAATTTTATCTGATTTAACTGTATTCAACTGAACCATAATAGTCATTGACTTGTTTTCCTATCTAGATCTTTGTTTACATAAAAAAAGGCAGAAATAAATAGGGAAGGTAAAATGAAGGTACATTAATTATGCATTGCTAAAAAAAATAATTTTGCAAAAATACTTTACATGGACTATTTGTAAAATGTTCTCAACTTTTTAACAATGCTTAACCAAAATGTCCATAAAATGTTAAAGCATAGGCATGAAAAGGTAAGGTAGGTAGGGAGGTCCAGAACAGATTTTTTTTGGGGGGGTTGGGGTGCGGGGGGCTTCCTTCTATAACAAGGTGTGACAACTTGTTAAAATTTGTGGGGCCTTCCTTCTGTAACAAGGTGTGACAACTTGTTAAAATTTGTATCAACATTATCTAAATTCTACAGCTTACTGAACAAATTTACATATTTTTTGTAGATCCTGTCAAGATTAGGAATGCAATGTATAAAAAGTAGCATTTCTTTGAAAACTTGGACAGTGTATTGTCTGAAATGGCCTTCTGCGATTTCTCCTTTATCATGCTTATAGTTATTTAACTTTCTTCAATCATATGAATTTGGAATTGAAACAAGTTTTCTTGAAATTTAACAGTACTAACGTACATGTTAGACTTTATGACGATGAAAAATTCAGAAAATATGCTAGTTAATGAAATTTTTTGGTATAATTTCATGAAAGTTCGAGAATTGGAATGAGCTGTACCAGCCTTTCCTGTGTTCCACCATACTGGCCACAGTAATCCTTCTTTGGGGGGTTGAATAATAGGATTGTGTGATTTAAATTAAATATAATATGTCTGGATTAAATCATCTATTTGGGTAAGCCTATGTATATATAATTATATGAATGTTCAGGGAAGGTGGATTAAGATTAACTTGGATATTGGTAATTATGCACATCAAATATGTTCTATGGATAAAATAACCATCTGGGTTAGGGTTATAATAACCCAAATGGGGTTTAGAGAAACAATGCAAAAATATTTAAGTCATATGAAACACTAAGTTTAAAAAAAAAGTTGAATATGTTTTATATACTTGAATGGCTAAGTTTTACAATAAAACAAGTGTAAGTGAACTTTCTTGTACAAGAAAATCCTTTATATTATCAAAATCTTCATGAATATACTGCTACTGAATTATTGTCTTCCAGTACAGTAATTCACCGATATTTTCTTGTAGGCAGTGACCTTAACTACAAGACCTCTCGTTAGAACTACGGCCACTGCATAGCGCAAGTGTGAGGGGAAAACGTAATGAAAGAATGTAAACAAACATGCACTGGAAAGTAATAAGAAATAACTGATTCTTAAAGAAATAAATATTATACAACAAATCATTAAACAACTATTAAGGAAAAGTTTAATTAACAAATGGGAATGCATGGAAAATATAAAAAAAGAAAATCATAGCTCTATCAATTCACATGCTCTGTGTTGATTGTTTATCAATGTCACGATCCAATAAACTTCTGCAACAGACTTGAAGGTTAATTAACTTGTGATCACCAATGACTGAATGAAATATTATTTGTCAATGATACGTTATAGATTCGTAATAAAAAAATTTAAAACGTGCATACAGGACTTAGTTTAGTATATATATATTACAATAATTTTGATAACATTAGAATTACATGAAACTCGTTTTATATGACTTTAAAAGTGCATACATTCATTTAGATCAAAAGCAAGATCAAACTTTTAATTTGAACAGATTTCTGAAACCTAATAAAAAATTACTTTGTCAGACAATATCAGACTTATTATTCTGAAAATCAACCAGGCTTTTATCAACAGGTCGTAACCAAAAGGTCTAGCCTTTTGATGCATTGCCCCCAACCTCAATAAAAAACAATAGTAACAAACATAAGAATGCAACACTACAAAAATTTAAATGTCCAAAGCTATATCTTGTATCCTTTTGTGAAGATTTTTCCAAACCTGGTACAAAATAAATGTTGATGCAGGATTTTCTGTTTACATAATACATGTAAATCCCTGAAGGGTCTGGCCTTTTTTTTTCATTGGCAATGGCTATTTGCCTTTCATTTTCATCTATTACCGAATTAAACAAACAGGTACTTGGGCATCGCAGAATGGACCCCACTTTTTTAAAATATTTTTTTTAAGTTAATATTCTTTAAAATATTTTAAAATATTTCGACTGATTTTTTAAATTGTTTTGCTAATATTCATACAACACTAAACAAACAAAAACAATAGTTGTTTATAAAAAAGGTTTCCCGTACTTTTTAAATTTTGGCAGCTGTTAACAACTGGGGAAACCTTTCAAACTTAACGGACTTCTTCAATTCATGCATTGCATTAGGATTCATACAGGGCGTGCATTTGACATCAACTTCCATTATCAGTAATAGACTAGGCAAAATTAAAGTTAACCAAGAAGTGAAAATCTGAAATTTCTGGATAGCTGTGTGATTGTACATACATGTACATGTATGATGTAGACGATTTTCGAATATGTACACTATCCCGTAATTTCCACACGTTACAATGCTTTTGGGAATACGTCACAATAAGAACGGATTGTTCGATGATGTCGTTTACGCCGATTGACCCCGGGTCAACCCGTGCTCTATCTAAAAAACAACTCGAGATTGGTGTATAGTCAGACCACCAATAGAAACGAAAAGGTCAGTTTTTATTTAGTTGAGACATGTCCTACTTTTCCCCCTTTTAAATTAGAAAGATTACAACAGCAAAATAACCCCTTGTCTGAGGGACAGTCCCTCATTTAAAAGATATCCCTCATTAGGGGGGTTGTTCCCAACCTGTTCAGAAGATCTAGAAAACAAGAATAGAGGGCATCATATATAAACTACTGTTATTTTATTTTATAATATTGTTTTAAAATTATATAAGAAATTACCTTTTCCGATCACCAGGAATTGCACGTTTTTCTTACGTTGCGTAACAAAAAAAAAACAGACTCAGTAACCCTGCTTGGTGCAATATTTTCTACTCCACTTCTTTGTCAGTGGTCCCTCCGGATTATATTCAACTCTGTCAAATGACAGGTAATACTGTCAAAAACTATAACACAATATTTACAAACATAACACAGAATAAATTATACACCCGATCACAGCGATGCATATCACCACTTTAAACCCGCCGTTTCAACAATTGCTGTACTGGTTTCAATCAGATTTCCCTCTTGTGGCCTCATTACAAAATCTACCAAATATGATTGGAAACCAGTGGAGTTCAAGAGTTCATCAGAGTAGTATAATTTAAGAATCGATATTGTATTGGATACTAAAACTCCGTAGGTGTTATAAAAGGTAGTTGAAAAAACAGAACATTCAAGTCATTGCTGTTTACCTCTGGGAACTGATCTAATTAGGACTTAATACCGGAGAGTCAATGATTATGAATGGGAATAAATAATAAACGCCAATTATGAAAGGCTATATAGGCATCGATCATTCATCTTAAAAATTATGGATGTATGTTTTTTTTTATGCACAAAATCAGTGGCGGATCCAGAAATTTTCATAAGTGGGGGCCCACTGACTGCCTAAGAGGGGGCCCGCTCCAGTCATGCTTCAGTGATTCCCTATATAATCAACCAAATTTTTCCCAAAAAAGGGGGGCCCGGCCCCCTGCCCCCCCCCCTAAATCCGCCTCTGCACAAAATGATACCCCAGAATGGTCTAATTAATTCATGTACATTATCATTAGCCTGTCAACACTGAGGTTGTGAGTTCGAACCCAGCACGCGGCAGGTGCGTTCGGCGGACTCGATCTTAATTGAATAGGATTTTCAGTTTTCCTGTCGAATGTTGGTGGTTCTTTCCGGGCACTCCGGTTTCTTCCACCATTAAAAACTGGCCGCCACGATATAGCCTAGAGTACTGAAAGTGGCGTTACACACCAGCAATCAACCATGCGCGATCAATATAAACAAAATGTCTAGCGGCAATAACACATGCATTGTAGGGAGACAAAGTATGATGCATTTTTACAATTACAGTCATGCATGGATCATATTCCAGTTACCATTTTCCATCAGTTCAAAAGATGTTCAAGGAAGGACTATGTGACAAAAAAAAATGTCCCAATTGCCTATATGCTTTGAACAGTCCTGAGTGCAAACACTAAATTGTCTTGCCTGCATAATTGATGATAATCTGATTTTATGTTGAAAGTCATAAATTTAAAAATCAAAGTCTTAATACGTATACAAGTATAACAGAAACTTTACATTATCAACGATCCGTCATGGAAATGAGGTAACAATAATTTTTTTTTGCTGTTTCACATATTTGTTTTTCGTTTCTTGTTTAGCATAGTTTGCTTCTGTTGTGCCGTTACACCACTGTCCCAGGTAAGAAGTCGGGTTGTCACCTTCAAATTTGTTTAACCCGCTACATTCTTCATGGGCCTGTTCCAAACCAGGCGCCTGTAGTTCAGTAGTCTTCATTGGTTCATGTCTGTCATACCGGTATCTGTTTTTTCGTAAATTATTTTGTTATAAATTAGGCCGTTAATTTTCTCAATTGAATTGTTTCATATTTTCATGTCGGGACCTTTTATAGCCGACTATACGGTGTGGGGTTTTCTCATTGTTGAAGGCCTATGGTTGCCTATAATTGCTTACATCCACTTCATTTGAACTCAGGTGGCAAAACTTTCCAATCACTGAACCATGAAATGAGCCGGTCAATGCCAGGTAAACACTATTTGAAGGATTGTTTACCTAACAATGCATCTATGAACCAATGTATAGTTGTTTTAATGCTCATATTTACTGTCAAATGCATGTCATAATACTATATATAAATAAGAAGATGTGGTATATATGATTGCCAATGAGACAACTCTCCACTTAAGACCGAATGACGTAAGTAAGTATCTACATGTCCCCGTATGTATCGAGTGTGTTCATTGAACAGTGAAACAGGGGTCAAGGACAATGGTAACAAAATATAAGATGATTTTCTCAAATGTATTTTATCTACCCATTTATTGTACCCCGCGTAACGCGTTACGGGGGGACATGGAAATACCGGGCGTCCGTCCGGTCTTGTTAGCGCTCTCACAGGTACAATTCTTGCCAGATTTTTATAAAATTTATACTATAGGTTACTATCAGCAATATCTCGGACAAGTTCTACAATCGTGGCCGATCGACTTTTTTTTAAAAGAGTTATGCCCTTGGAAATATTCAATTTATAGAAAATGGCATCGTTAGCGCTCTCACGGGAACAATTCTTGCCAGATTTTTATAAAACTTATACTATAGGTTAATATCAGCAATATCTCCGATAAGTTCTATAATCGTGGCCGATCGACTTTTTTAAAAAGAGTTATGCCCCTTGGAAACATTAAATTCATGGTAAATGGCCTCGTTAGCGCTCTCTCGGGTACATGTCTTGCCAGATGTTTATAAAATTAATACTATAGGTTAATATCAGCAATATCTCGGACAATTTCTATGATGGTGGCCGATCAACTTTTTTTAAAAGAGTTATGCTCCTTGGAAATATTAAATTTATGGAAAATGGCCTCGTTAGCGCTCTCACGGGTACAATTCTTGCCAGATTTTTATAAAACTTATACTATAGGTTAATATCAGCAATATCTCGGATAAGTTTTATAATCGTGGCCGATCGACTTTTTTAAAAAGAGTTATGCCCCTTGGAAACATTAAATTAATGGAAAATGGCCTCGTTAGCGCTCTCACGGGTACAATTCTTGCCAGATGTTTATAAAATTAATACTATAGGTTAATATCAGCAATATCTCGGACAAGTTCTATGATGGTGGCCCATCGACTTTTTTCAAAAGAGTTATGCCCCTTGGAAATTTTAAATTTATGGAAAATGGCCTCGTTAGCGCTCTCACGGGTACGATTCTTGCCAGATTTTGATAAAACTTATACTATAGGTTAATATCATCAATATCTCGGACAAGTTGTATAATGGCGGCCGATCGACTTTTTTAAAAGAGTTATGCCCCTTGGAAATATTAAATTAATGGAAAATGGCCTCGTTAGCGCTCTCACGGGTACAATTCTTGCCAGATTTTTATAAAACTAATACTATAGGTTATTATTAGCAATATCTTGGACAAGTTCTGTAATGGTGAACGATCTACTTTTGTTAAAAGAGTTATGTCCCTTGGAAATATAAAATATGTGCAACGCGGGGGACATTGGAACTCTGTTCTTTTATTTATATTAATATCAGTGTGTATCATGAAACAAGACGGGGTCGCCCCGATATTCCGACATGAACCCCACTATAGTCCGACACTTGATATAGATAAGGCATCATATTATCAACGGCTAAATTACTAACGGTATGAGAATTACTTGCTAACTCCATTCGTATTTTAAAGGGGCTGTCAAATCCATGTTCACCGATTCGACTCAATATATCATATTTTATTTATAACATACTATTTATCAGAAACGTCTATAATAATATTCAAATTACAAAAAACCTTAATAGACGCAAAGAATTCCGTAGGTCATATGATCTGACCTAATGTAAAGATAAATATAAATACACAGGCAAGCACGTGCAATCGTTAAATGACGATTTATCCAGGTCTGTTTGATTTAATGTCATAGATTCAAAAAATTATGTAGATCATCGATTTAGCTGTATTTGAATGATTTTTTGTGGGCAGAATTAGTCAACTAAAGAGATCTACCAGTGGCTGCATGCCTTGTTAAACATTTCTATATTTACATTCGTTTCTTTACTAAACTTGCTAAGCATGTTCTTATTCCATCTCAGTTACATTGAAGTTCGCTTGAATACGGATTCAAATGTGTTGGATTATAGACTTGCGAGCCAATAATACATCATCGATGTTTTTGAGCTTATTTTGACCAGAGACATATAATACATAATTGTATTATATGTCTCTGTTTTGACCCACTATTGATTCAAAACTGACTGCTAGTAGCGAAATATTATTTCACAATTAATTTTATAAATGTTTGAAACCAAAAAAAAAATATCATATTTTGATTTTTTGTCAACTTAGTTCCTTATTTTTAAAAAAGGTATAAAAAGTTTGCTTACAAGTGCCTAGATTTAGTTAAAAGACTGTTAGAACAAAAGGATCATGTGGATCAATTGTGGAGGTAACACTATTTGTACTAACGGATGTTTTATGTTAATATTACGACCTAAAGTTAATGATATTTGAATTATGTCCACAAATATAACCATCTCCGTATTTCACATATGGATTTATACGTTCTTATCTCTCCATGTTTTTGTGCCCATTGTTCTCTATTCTGTTAACCCCATCTAAACCCTCATACAACTTTAGCAATACTTAAAAGTACTTTGCGATCAAACTTTAAAACTACAGAGAAGAACCAATAGAACTAACCTCACAATCTTCTATTCTCTAGCCATAAACTTACATATTCAACTTACGAAAGCACTCTAATACGGTAACCATAACCGGAGAATGCATATATTTAATCAACAATGTTGAATCATTTGTCTATAAAGTTGAGGATGTAGGGATTGGAGGGGGTGAGTACAGGGTAAATAAATGTTAATTGATGAAAGAAACAAATATTTTCTGTTGAGTTATTGAAGTCCTCTTACCTTGTTCAAGGTCAACCTTTAGTATTACATAATATAGCTGTGTGACTGATTACAATCCCAAGCTGGTCTAAACTGGAATCAGAACAACAGGCACTTGTTTCTGATTTTTTTTATTACCTATATACCTTAATAATACACGTATTATATCAAGGTATATATGATTTGGATATTTTTTTATTAGAGACAAGTTCCTGTGTCAGTGACCCAAAAACTGATAAACTTTAAGGTGCATCAGTTCATATTTTTTTCAACCTTTTTGACTTCGTGATATGGGTTGTCGGACTAATAGGTTGTCGGAATAGTAAGGCTGTGTGAGGTGAGTTGTATAGATAAAAGAAGATGTGGTATGAGTGCCAATGAGACAGCTCTCTATCCAAGCCACAATTTGTAAAAGTAAACCATTATAGGTCAAAGAACGGCCTTCAACACGGAGCCTTGGCTCACACCGAACAGCAAGCTATAAAGGGCCTGCCTTAGGACAGGTGCAAACAAATGCGGCGGGTTTAAACGTTTTAATAGGCGCCAACCTTCACCCTACCTGAAACAATGTACTCAACTTATTTAGTTTGCAAAAAATCATAGGATAAACAAGGGAACA